CAAGATTTGGGTGCCACTACAGGACTTTGGTTGCAACAATGATCTATATGGTCCCAGTTTATGTCAATAACGTCACACCTTCTTGCCAGACAACTCCGACAGAGGGGAATGAGGGTGGGACGTGGAATACACCTGAGCAACACATCTTGAAGAACGCCAGTGACAGAACAGGTAACTGTCCTTTCTTCTTCGAGTGATTGCTCATGTGTATTCCACTATAGGTGATTCCAAACTATACCTGATGGAGGTGGGTAGGAGTTTAAATGTAAAGTTTTAAGGGTTACCCGGGCGGAGCACCGCCCTACCAAACCCGGCGTCATCCCTCGTTTGGGAGACGATCGCATAGTGTGATGAAAAGATGTGGACAGAGGACCACGTAGCAGCCCTACAGATGTCTTGGATAGGGACATGAGCGACATAGGCCGCAGACGAGGCCTGGGCTCTCGTCGAATGCGCCTTCACAGTAGGAGGCGGGGGAACCCCTGCCAGGTCATAACAGGTGCAAACGCACGAGGTGATCCAGCGGGAGATCCGCTAGGTGGACACCAGCCGTCCCCTCATACGCTCGGCCGAAGCCATAAAAAGCTGGGGGGACTTCCTAAATGACCTGGTTCTGTCCAGGTAAAAGGCCAGCACTCTGCGCACATCCGACATGTGCAGGCGGTGTTCCTCATTGGAGGAATGGGGTTTAGGACAGAGGACCGGGAGGAAAATATCCTGATCCATGTGAAAAGCCGAGACTACCTTCATCAAAAAAGCGGGGTGAGGGCGAAGCTGAACCTTGTCCTTATGGAAGACCGTATACGGTGGTTCAGAAGTCAGGGCCCTGAGCTCCGAGACCCGGCGGGCTGAGGTGATGGCCACTAGGCATGCCACCTTCCATGACAGTGGGACCACGAGCACGTGGCTAAAGGCTCAAAGGGAGGCCCTGTGAGGTGGGACAGCACCAGGTTCAGGTGCCAGAGCGGGACCGGGGGTCTGGCGTAAGGGAATGCCCAATCTAACCCTTTCAGAAACCGGGTTGTCATGTGATGCGAGAACACAGACAGGCCCTGCACCGGGGGGTGGAAAGCCGAAATGGCTGCCAGGTGCACCCTGATCGAGGAGGGCGCCAGCCCGTGGGTCCTAAGGGACAGGAGATAACCGAGGACAAGCTGGATAGACACGGAGGAGGGAGAGGAACCTCTATCTCTCGCCCACATAGAGAACCTATATCACTTAGCCAGGTAGGTTTGACGCATGGAGGGTTTCCTACTTT